ATTTTACAACATAAATTTATTTTTTTGCATGTAAATATTGGAGAATACTCTCCGAAAATTTGAAGGTCATCCGGCGATTGTTTTCGAAGATATGAGCGTATTTGCAAAAAATTTTGTAATTGATGTAATCGTCTGTCAAAACTTTACACGAGTTTTACTTGAAAAGTTGTCAGTGAGAAAATTGTCTCTGAAACAGTTAGACCGATCGATTGGAAATCTTCACACAACATTATTAGAGACATATATTTTCCCGGAATGATCAAGGGAATACGATTTTTGATAATAACAGTTTGAGCCACAAAAAAGGGTATAGTGTAAATTTTTTCACAAAGAACAATTTTTTTTGAAAGCCGCCATTTTGGCAAAAATCAATATCGTTCGATCATTACCTGTTTTCATTTATAGTAGTAATTTTTTTTCTTCTTATGTATAAAATAAGACTGTGGTAGAACGAAAAACAGCTTTTGGGGGGCTATTATTCTGCTTCCATATACTTCTCGTCGGTTTTCTCCGAAAACATCTTTCTATTTTACTGCTTGAGTGGAAAGTAAAAACGCTAGAGTTTTAGGCTCACAAAGAACCTCATATAAATTCAGATATCACATTTTCAAGTTAAAATTGACAAAAACTTAAATCCACTCTTGACAAAGACAGTCAAAATCCTCTCCTCTCAAAATTTTTTTTACTCATGTTATGCCGTAGATAATTTTGATACACATATGTATTCTATCTCTACTAGAAAGATGTTACCGTTAGGAGAAAAAATTCTTGCCCTCTCTTTCTCTTCATCAGTCATTACTGGTACTGCTTGTCATTACTGATAAAAGGTTTACAAATATTTACCATTAACATACCATTAGCATAAAATTTTATATTCGGGATCCCCAAAATGAATCTTTAAAAGCCATGTTGTTATGAAATAAAAATATATGAAAAATATTTGTAAGCTGTACATAAATTTATTCATAAAACCAAGCACATCGAGATCTCAAAAAATTTCAGAATTGGGCATTACATTATATTCCTCTTGTTGAGTACCAAAGGTCGTGAAATGCATATAATTGGTATTATATATATATACATATAGGCATTTAAGTAACAGACGGGGTGAATATAATAGCATTTAAAAAAAATTTAGACCCACGTTTATATTGAAAATAGTGTATTCCTTGCTATAAAGGATAAGAATATGAAAAGAAACATTTGCAAACATTATATTTTGGGTCGTTCACTAAATAATTTCGTTTGATGGCAACAGCTGATCATATTGAATTTTTTCGCAGCCAACTTCACATTTACTTTATATATAAATGTCTAGGATTAATTTCGACGCTTGACATATGGGTTCCTCATGTTCTTACAAAACGAAATTGGTTTCATCGCATTATCTACTGTGATTTATTATCAAACGTCAAAGAAATGATTTATTTTCAAAGCGCATTGTTACTGGCGACGAAAAGTGCGTTGTTTACAAAAATTTAAAACAGCAGATATCATGGTCTAGCAAGGATAAACCAGCTCAAACCACTTCGAAGGCCGATAATCACAACAAAAAGGTTACGTTGTTTGTTTGGTGGGGTTTCAAAAGGATCGTTAATTTTGAGCTTTTGCCTGACTATACCACGATTAATTAGTGTGTAGTGTTCCCCAAGATTAATGCGAGACCTCATACAAGTCTAATGACTTGCCGAAAGCTTTTGCAGCTTGAATGAAAGGTGCCATCATATTCTCCAGACTTAACACCTTCAGACTATTACTTGTTTCGGTCATTGCAAAATTTTTTGGATGGGAGAACCTTCACATTAAATCAGGACGTCAAAAACTCTTTGGACCAGTTTTTTGCCAGTAAGAATCACATTTTATGAGCGTGGAATCAATCTCTTGCCCAGAAAGATGGCAAAAATGTAGTGAATATATTATATAATTTAATAAAATGTTTTACAAAATAAAAAATCGTGTTTAAATTGCACTGAAAAAATGAAAATACTTAATGAGCCAATAAATTCAATCGTAAAACCAAAAAAATCGGTATAAAAAAAAATTTCCTAATGGGACTAGGCAAATTTTGTATTCGGGATGCCGAATTTACATGTTGTAAATAAATATTTATATTATATAAAAAATAAATATTTGCAATTAGTAAACAAATATTTTTATAAAGATAAAAATCGGTATCAAAAAAATTTTCGAAATTGAGCTAGGCAAATTTTGTCTACGGGATCACGAAATAGATTATCTACTAAATATGTTGTAAATGTTAAGAGTATATAAGAAATATTTGCAAGTACGAGTACTAAATTAATGTATTCATAAAGAAAACGACAGCTGAACTTACATTTTTCGAAAATTTCAAAAGCACTAAAATGCAAACAAAGGAAAGTGTTTACCTTTATAAATAAACAAGGAAACATATTTCCAGCCAAATAAAAAACATTCTCCTGCTCGTGACGACGGAAACTATGAAAATTTTGTCCAATAATGCCGGAAAAATAAGAGAAAGTATTAGTCGTGCAGTCATGCATTAAACCACGATCATGTCGGGCGCTGCACCCTAAATCAAAGCCTCAAAACCACAAAACATTTTCTTAACTTATAGTGCGCATACCAAGCCAGGGGCACGCAGTCTGTCCTATTGCTTATCTTAGCTATGCTTCGTAGTTTGCTGTCACTTTATTATGCACTTGTCTCGCATTCCGGCGTTTATAATTTCCAAGAGGTTGTTTTTTACTATTTTTTTTTAATGATTTTTCACCTTATTTTACAATTTGAAACACACACATACACATAGATAGTTCATAGTTGTCATTGAAAGTGAATTTTTCAAATTTTCAAGGTGCGGATTTGTCAACGTGCGCTGCATTTAACCGTTTAGCGGGGTTACATACAAACGCCTAGCGTTGTAGGTACAAGTATATTGCGCATGCGCCACTGCGCTTTAACCAAAAACCCTGACAATTGCCTGCAAAATTCGTTATGCGTGTTTCATGATTTCTTGTTTTTTTTGTTTTTTTGGTTTTGAAATTTTATTAATTTTACTTTTCTTTTTTTCGCGTGCAATGAAATCTTCCCTGCATTGCATTGTAATTACGGGATTCCATGGCTGCTACTCAATAGCTTAAACCCATAGTCTTTGTGTGCATATAATGCTGCGGATGATAACTGGCTTGTCGGGTGGGCTGAGTGATCATTGCCAATTACAACATAACCAACACGACTAACAAGCAAAACAGAACAAAATATTCAATAACATTGCATAAGCAAATATCAGTTAATGCAGCAATGCAAATATTTGTCGTTGCACAGTGGGATGTTTTAGAAAAAAATGTAGACAAACTATTACTAAGTTAAAATAAGAAAAGACAAAAAAAAACACCCTCAAAAATAAAAAATTCCATACAACAACTACATTTTAATCGGTTAACTAGTTTGTATTGCAGCTAAATGACATAGTGGTCCGATGCCGGTGGTTCTTACTAATAAGCTGCTTTTTGGCCAAATAAGGACGAGTGCAAAATTTTAGAACGATATCTCAAAAACTGAGGCCATATATACAGACACACAGACAGATAGTCCCACATTGCTAAACCGACTCAGCTCGTCACGTAGATCATTTATATCTACATATACTCATACTTCATGGAATCTCTGACGCTTCCTTTTGGGTGTTTGCACCTTATGCATTTACTGTTCAAGGTATAAAATAGGTGAAATTTGAATCGAATACAATCAACCAAGGGAACAAAAATAATTATATTGCGTATATGGGAGAGAAGGAGACGCTTCGGCCGACACATTATGTGTAAGTAGCATGTTGACTTAATGTTAACAAAATATTTTCCAGATTGAGCACTGCACTCCACAAAATAAGAATAGAAAAACGGAGAAAGTCTTCAAATTAGTTATTTGAAATCTAGACCAAGAACTTGACGGATCTTAACAAGCTATACAGTGTTCATTATCACTTAACTTCCCTAAACTATTTTACATACTGACCGATATATACGGTATAATGCGAAACGGAAATTTTAAAATTCTTTTATTAGGTACATAAATCCCATATAAGTATTAAATTTATTTTGTTTATTATTAGCATCAGATCATATTATTTCATGTAAAATATGTCCACTTCAGGTTATTCGGATGTCTAACCAAACTACCAATATTTTTGGTATTAAGTTAGTAATTTCATTTTGTCAGACGTCTGGTGTAATTTAAAATGGTTTCGCATGGGAAGTAGGTTACACACACACCTACTTGAATTCAAACTGTAAAATTAAGATATCGCGATAATGATTTTTACCAAATATGGCAATCGAGTAGTTGTTGAGATATGGAATATAACACTTGTAAGGGGAGTTAGTTATTAACCAATTTCCTCCATTTTTAAATCGTATCATGGAATGATGGAGAGAAATGCGTTCACTAACTGAGTGATAAAGCTGTGGGACATATATTTAATTTTTTGAATGGGTGGTGTGGCTATACTACTTATCAAAAAGTTTTAAGCCACAGCTTTCTCTTTTCATAGTAATTGTATGTACCAAATTTAATATAAATTCTTATGTTTTTTTGTAATAAAAGCTTTTCATAAAGACACAGTATTTCATTTCATTTCATCCATCAATTTTTTTATTGTTTCGTTCAGTATTATTTTGAATTTTGATGGGAGGGAGGCAACACCTAACGAGGACCATTTGATATGGATAAAAAAAAAATTGAAGACAGTGCCTAGCCCTATTCGGAGAACTTTTATATACTTTCAACAAAAACAAATGTATAGCTATTATTATAACCTACTGGTAGTACCTTTTTGTTTCCACCTCAGTCTATTTATTTTATTTCTTTTAAGCACTCAGTTATTCAAACCAAATTTCAAGTCATTCCACTTTTACTTTGATTCTTAGAAATATTTATGAAAGTGAAATTAATTACACTTCTACAATCTTTCGCTTTGTGTTGAGTACATTTCTTAGACATAAGGCGCTTTCTCCAACACTTACCGTTGTCAGCAGGCAACGCGACTCACGTATCGCGCCACAATAGCCGAGGAAGCTCATGAAGAACATAACGGCGCCGATAGCAATCAAAACGTACGCCATCTGCTCGATGACACGCGGCTGTGTGAATTGCTGCAATGAAAGAAAAACGCATAACAAATATTAAATAATTTTGAAGAAATTTTTCGAAATAAAACAAAAAGTAGTTAATATTGGTTTTCGTCATAGTTGCAGGTATATATAAAAAAAAAATAGAAGAATAGTGGAATAAATAACAAAAACCATAAAGTTGCTATTAAAATTTACGAAGAAGAAGTAAAATATGCAAATGAAAATGAAAGCCGCTCAGTACGTGAACGTGGAAACTTAAATGTGATTGGGGTATGTAAAGCTCGTTGACCATTGGCTTTGTAAATAACAGCTTGCGTAGCGCAAATAACGTGAGAACAACGGTTATTAAGTGAAATATGAAAAATAAAAATTTGAAATCTTTTCCTACTACTTCAGTTGATTAAGTCCAAATTTTAAACTCTTCGGTCAGATAATTAGTTCGTGGTTTTTGTTTATTTTCCTCTTCCCTCGTCGCTGTTTAAATACTAGTTTTAGAGTCGTGTATGATAGAAATGATATTTAATAGCACTATGCAAATACCATATATATTGCAACTTAGTTCTTAAGTGAAAAATAGCAAAAACTAATTCGACAGTTTTCTACTCTATGAAAAGGATATGGAATTTTCGTTGGTCAGCCTGTTTAGTATAAATCGGAAATTTCCAAAATTGGGCACAGTTTTTGGTAAAATATTTCCTAGTTAGAACTGCTCATTTTTTATAAGGAATAAATGAAATGCTTAATAAAGTTCCATTTATTCATTAAGGAGCTCTCGAAAGTGTAAGGCAATTTTTCAAAGCATGCTGACAATTATGACAATATATTATAAGTAGATCCATTGACAGAGTTTCTCCAACAACCTCGCTTCCACTTTTATTTCTTTTTATCGTTGACCTCTTCGCCAAATGGGTTTGAATCTGGTTAAAAGTTTTATGATAAATCATCCTCAGTCCGTCCATCAGTTTTGTCGAAAAATCGTTTGGAACCATTTAAATAAGGCTAGATACAAAGAGAAGTTCGATGTATGGATGCCATTAAGCCGATAGTTACTAATATTGAAAAGGGGTAAGAAGTTTTTATTGGGATCGGCAGGGCATCGTCTGCCATGAGCTGTTCACCTCTTATTTCGGAGATTAACAATTGGACCATCTGAAGGAAACGATCACCGAGAAGCGGCGAAATTTGGCCAATATGAAAATAATTGTCTTTCATCAGGACAACGCCAGGCTACAAACACATCTCTAGTGACTCGCCAAACGCCCCAGGGTCAATCTTTAACCTAATGTGCCAACATAAAATTTTTTTCTTTCGTATTATTAACTGTTTAACAAAGTTAAAACAAAGTTATGGTCCACTAAGTGATGAGCTTCGGCCAGAAAATGTCATAACTGGTAAAAATGGTCTAGTGTAAGTATAAAATTAGGCAATTAGTGCAAATAATTGCCAACTGCATGTATTTTGGCATTTTGTAGACGTAATTCCACAATTTTCATAATAATTTTAACGAAAGCCTAAAACACTCTCACACTCATGTGAAAATCATGTCACTGCAATTAAGCCAGATATATTTCACACCCAAAAAAATAATAAAAAAAAAAATAAAATAATAATAAAAAAAAAAATATTTAAAAAATATAAATGAAAAAGCTAATAAAAAAAGGAACAAAATTGCATTTTTTCACGCGCCCTTTACGCCTCTGGCACAGTAATGTGCATTTGTTTTGTACCAGATAAACTCGTACATACCTATTGTGAATACAACTTCATATAAAGCATAGATATGGTAGGTATAGTTGTATTTCATTTGTTTGTTTGTGAGTGAGTATTGCGCTTTTAAAGTTCATTGACCAAACTTCTTGATTGCATTTTAACTTTTCACCCACAAATGGCGTTGCCAACAATTAGTGCACTTTACCAATTGCTCACATGCATGTGAATTAAAATGACTGTTGTTGGTGGACATTATGCTAAATGATCTTGCAACACAAGCGGTCAATTTGGGTGCATAGCTAAATATTATATTTAGTTATGTTAAGTGTTTCGTATTTAGCGAACATTTCGAACCAAACCATTACAGTTTACCATGTACATATGTATATATTTCCACTTCTTGTCGACATCATTAAAATAGAGACAGAGGCAAATAACACTAAATATTTACAGCAGTAATTTGTTGGAACGACGTTTGCCGTTCGACGTTCGTGTGGAAAGTGTCCAAAGGCTGGGCGCCAAAGGGTGCGTACGTATGCTAATCGTTAAGAGTGTGGTCAGTGGAGGCGCTGCCGTGGTTTTTGGTGAAAGTTATAAATGTTTCAGCACTTGTGTGGCTACTACAGCTTATAGAGTGCGTGTATGTTTGTATTTATTTATGAATGTGTCTTAGACGACCCAACCCAATTCGATATGTCGACAAGATTTCCTTGTCGGTATGTTTCCTGAATTTGCTATCATTTTTCCCTACATTTCATTTGCATTTGAATGTTGTATAAAAAACTATATAAAATATGTTGCAATAGAGTACATTTCTATGTTGTTCGAATGTAAGATAATCAGGTCAAAACCACCACTATTGGTTTTATTAGGTCGCTCATAGGCGAATGAATTTTTTTAAAATATTTAACATTATGTATTAGACATTTGTATTTCGATAAAAGGGTCATGAAAATATTGACTGAGTGGAGAATGCACTGTGATAAAAGCTGTGGATGTTTCAAATTAAATTAAGAGGCAAATTTTGAAGAGATCTAAATATTGCAAATTTTCAAGCTATAAGCAATTGTTAAGCAAAATTACGATTTCTCAAATACAGAAAAATGTCTTTCTTAAAGATATTGTATAATATAATATATAATATATAAAATGAAGCGACGAAGCAAATTTTTTTCTGTAAGAACATGAGGCACCCATATGTCAAGCCTCATGTGCTTGTGAACGGTCGCGTTAGACAAATGTAATCTTTCAGCAATCTCTCGAGTAATTATTCGATAATTTGCATCGACGAACTACTTAATTTTATCCACATCGGCTTTAAGAGTACTTAGAGGACGTGGTGCATCTTCAAGATCGAAATTGCCAGAACGAAATTTTGCAGATTATTTTTTCCATTGATCTGTACACATCACATAATTTTCGCCCCACTTGAACTGCATTTTTATCCTTTTGATAGTAAGACAGTAAAATATGCCGAAAATGCTGTTTTCGATATTCCATTTTGATAGGGCACCAAAAAAAAAACTATTCCAAAAAATTACAGAAAATTTGTCTCAAACAATACTTACTATATTTGAGATTGCAGTTTCACTAAAATCACTGTTATTTAGAGTTGGCTGATCATCCAAAAAATATAAGAGAACTGTATTTTACGACAAATCACGAATGCATCTACTAATAGCCCTATACGGAAAAACGATTTTTTTCGAGGTTTGTTTGCAAAATGTGAATTTTCGCATTCGAAGTTTGAAATTAGCCCTATTGAAAATTATTATTATTAATTATAGTAAATAATTAAAAATAAATTAAAGTTTCGGCATTATTTTTTCCTCTTGATAGTGGTATCAAAGTAGAATTATTGAAAAAATCAATATTTTCTATTTCACACTGGCACGATTTGACTACTCATAGCATTTCTATTATAAGCTTCTCCGAAAAATGTTATACACCTTAGAAATAAGAGACAAACGTGGATTATATCCATTATTATCAGAGAACGATTATTTTGATAATAAAATTTAATAAATCATAAACGTTGTTCTTGCGTATATCTTTCCATGATGAAATTGTAAACATTACTGAAAACAATGAAAAAAAATTACAGATCACGACAAATTAAAAGTGGCCGAAATAATATCTATATATCATATAATCCTTATTGGCAAACCCGATATTTCTTTTCATAAATTTTCAAGCGGTAGGACCTCGGTAGTATACAAACACATTGGTTTAAAAAACATAAAACCACCGACAATTTAATTACCTCAAGATTCGATAAAATAGATAATTACTCGATGAAATCTTACAATAACATAAAAAAAAAACTTTTTGCTAAGGCAACCTTTAAATTTAAAATGAATTTTTCTGCTCTAATAAAGCATATGAAAATAATTTATTGGATTGAGCTAGCAAGTTAGCAATACGGATATTAATTTTCTCAGTGTAAAAATGATGTCGTAATCAAATATAACATATGCTTGGAAGGAAAAGATAGAGCATATTTTATGAGTTTTAGATAATAAATATCAATTCGGTGTGTACAAAATAAACACGCAAATGCCAAACAAATCAGATACTATGTATATATGTACAAATGTATGTATATATTTTACCGTTGGCTATTCTTTTGATAGCAAAGGACGTGCCGACCATAATTGCGAGTCATCAAATCTTGATAAGCCGACAGTGACACGCACAGCCAGACAGGTGTACAGACAGAGGAAAGTCAACAAACAAGCGGACAACAAACCAACGAGCCGATAGCACGAATGTTCAGAGCTAATAAAAGCTATTTTTAATATTTTAATAAGTAAAGCTAATTGCAGGGTTTCCTTTGGATTTTGGCGTTGCAATATGGATTGTGCAACATGCAACACTAGCTAAACAAATAATCAAAAGTGACCGAAAATAAAATCATAATAATTGCGTTGATTACGCTGGTGTTGGTGGACTTTCCATAATCACAGGGTGTTTCAATATAAATAATAGAGCGTATTTATTTATATGAATATGTAATTAAATAAATAATATATAGGTATAGTATATACTATATGTATGTATATGCATATAACTGTGTATGAATGGTGCTATTAAAATTAATATAACGGTACTTACGGTGATTTGATCGCTTTCTACCATCTTGAGCAATGCAATTAGCGAGGCTTTGTCGACCGCCAACCAAATGCCAGTGCCCAGCACGATTGTGCCAACGACCTGTGGTTAAATAAATAAACAAATTTCTTTTGTTAGCAAAAAGTATCAAAAATATAATTGTAGTGAAAAGAAGTTATGCAAACAAAATGATGAAAGTGTAAATTTTAGTATCAAAATAAATGCATTAATGCGGATGTGGTGCAGGCGAAATGCAAATATGTAGATATGTATTTACATATATATGTTAGCAATATCAATTTCAGCCTAAAATGATATTTAGTAGGTGTATTACGAAGGCAGTTCGATGAGTCGGAGATTTCACATTTTTTAGCCCAACAAATGGTTTCTTTACCAAGTATTCCGTCTTTATAATGTATTCCGTCCAAAGAAGATCTTTTAAAGTCACCTCGAAAAGTCTTGTATTATTTATTCACGTGTCTTACCTTCATCCAACATTTAGGATTCGAAAAAGAAACCAGTTGTGCGGACTTAATCTAGGAAATGTGCAGAATAAAGCCGAAATTGGCGCTTTAATTTATACAGCAATTTTACTCTGGACCTTATTTTCTTTTGTTGTCCTTGAGAAGGAAGATGTTGTTATTATTGTTGTTTAAATAGATTGTTATTTTTGTTGTTCAGATGTAAAAAGCTTATAAATATTTTTGTAAACGAATCCTCCTCAGAATGATCTATTCGAAAATTTTCAGCAGGAAAGCGGTCGGCAATGAATGGCAACACTGTTTTGTTTTACGATCAAGAAATTCTCGCAAATTTCATCCCGTTTACATCTTTGCTAGAAATTTAGTAATGTTTGACTTGTTTTTTCAACTTTTTGGAAATATTTTCCATGTTAGAAATATTTAAGGAGTTTTGATATTAATGGTCGATAAAAAAGGTTCAGTTAGGTTAGCCGGGTAGGTTAGTGAGCCACTTATCCAGAATGTTACCAGTGATTATTTCAATCATATTCCTACAATTCCATTTATCAAGAGAGAGTGGGAACATTGTGTATTTCTGAATCACTGTTTTGTACATAATTTTTGCAGTTTTGCATCCCGGTGTATCATTCCATCACACTACTTGCTATGCCATTGTGCAGATTGTCGTAAAGACAATGCTTAGGTTTAAATATATGGTTCACGTTTTCGGATGACAGCCACACACCACTCTCGGAAATCTCGTTCACTATCTCATTGCCATCGCATTGTGACCCGACACCCAGTAAAAGTGAATTCGCTTGTTCCACTTAAACAGTTATACATCATCGGTTCCTTTTAATGTCCAGAACTCCTGAGTATGAATCAAAAATACCGTTGCAAATCGACAAAGTATCTTGGGTCTGCCACAAATTTGTTGAAGCGGCTAATATCAATTTCGGATATGCCTCCTGGTTCGCCGAAAGTATGACTGCCACGATTTAAGGGATTTAAGGAGATTAAGATTAATAAAATTATTTATTTAATTCAAACTCCTGACAGGATCATTCAAAATGAAATACATATATAATACATAATATATGTTTTAGTTAAGACCATAAACCCGTACTTGAACGAAGGAAAAAAGAAACAAGTTAAAACTGGAATTTTTCAAAAAAAAATTAAAATTTCGGTCAAATTCGCTCGACATTTCTTTGTTTTTTAAATAGTTGTAATTGAAAAAAAAACACCTTTCGTCCAATACTCGTACTTGTAATTGTATCTTAAATACCTGTATAAAATTTCATCAAGATCGCTTGAGTAGTTCGCGAGAAATCTTGACAACCGACTTTGAAAACACAGTTTCGAGAAAAACGCGTTTAAAGTTTTAAGTGACCATATAGCTGACCTCGAGCGTGCAACTTTTCAAAGCTGTATCTCCAAAACTATTACTGATATTAACTAGAGTATTTGGGACAATATTCTAGAGATGTTATAGAATTAAAAACAAAAACAATTAAAAAAATTTTTTTGAAGCCGCGAAACCCCTTAATCTAGTTGGACTTTGAAGCAGATAGTGTCTAGAACTTACCACCTTACCTTGACAATTGGAGAATTTTTTATTTAATCTGCAGCCATTGCTCTCATATATTTCAAAACATATTTCGAAACCACACCTGTGCGAACAGTAATTTACTGTCAAAGTGCTAGAGAGCTCATAAATTTACTTTTTTCTTCACAACGTTGCTCACTTGAAATGAACAGTGTTCGATTTTATTCACTTATTAAACCGCCCTCGTACCGATATACAGTATGTGTGTGTGTATAGCAATGTCATTCATTCATTTCTAAAACTGTTAGTGCACTTTTATTCAATATGAATGTATTTAAGCAAACCGAATAGTACATATGTAACTAGATTTGCATATTTACTTTGTGGTTTAGTGAACCCGACGCCTTCGAGTGCAATAAATACGATGTTGTGGTCACAATGGAAAGTCAAAACAAGTTTTCACTTTTATTTGCGCATTTGTTTGGACAGCGAGCAGTGCTTACGAATGCATACGGTATTATACGAGTAGATAGATATGTACTATTTAAACAGTGTGTATGTATGTATGCATTTGCACGTAACTGCAATAAATATTTTGTTTTCATACTTACAAAAAAGAGGAAGTTGAACAGGCATAGCAGATACTTGGCCAGCCAGACGCCACAATCGGAACCCATTTTGGCAGATTTTATGTTTTTATTGAGCGCTGAAAATGTGTGAGCTGTAAGAAAGAAAAGAAAATAAAGTTAAGTTAAATAAATAAATATATAGGGTTATAAATTTAAGTACATTAAATAAGATTGAACCAATTTTTGACCGAATGAAAACTGTTTATTTCCCTCTTCAACATTTTTGGTAAAAAAAAAAACAAGAAAAACTTTAATTTCGGTTGCATTGAAGCTAGAATACCTTCACAGGTTCAAATTTTCTTTAATGAAACCTAACTTATCGTTCAGTTTGTATGGCAGCTATATCACATAGTAATCCGATCATGCCCTGAAAAATAATACATGCCAAATTTCGTGAAGATATCTTCTTAAAGAAAAAAGTTTTCCATTCAAAGACTTGATTATGATTGGTCAGATTGTATATAGTCAGCTATATTTTATAGTAGTTCGATTTCAACAATATATTCAGAGATTGTAGTGCTGCCTTGTACAATAAACTATACCAAATTTTGTGTGCAAAATTTCGGGTCGATGTCTCAAAACTTCGCGTACATACAGACAGACATGGCTAAATCGACACAGCTTGTCACGCTGACTATTTATATAAGTATATAATATATACCGGATAGGGTCTACGACGTTTCCTTCTGAGTGTTACAAACATTGTAAAAAACTTAATATACTCTGTTAAGGGTATAAAAAAAAGCTCTACTAAGATTCTTAAGCATTCAAACATAATCCTATCCATAAGTACTAAACTCATAAGAACCTCGTTCAGATATTTAGCAAATAGCCACGTTTAAGCGCAAAGAAATAAGTCGAAAATATATATCCAATAAATAGCCATACTCTTGGTCAATTGAATGAATTACTATAAAAAAATATATTCATAAAATATTTCTAAAAGTATTACAAATTTATGATAAAATTCTAGAACTCAGTAGTGAGCTTTAGAGAAAGCAAGAGCAATGGGAAAAGCAGGTCTAGTGCCTAGAGTATTTTGCCACTGTGATCTAGAAATAAGAACTATGTATTAATTGTTGGATTAGCAAATAACTTAAATTTTAGAATTTGATTTTGGCATAATAATCGATGACCGTTCGTTCGATGACCGAACGTTCGTTCATACTGAATCTGCGACACTCGCAACGATGACATATGCCAAAATCTACCTGACAGCCTTCCATCATCCCTTTGACGGAAGCCATCTGACAGCCGTTAGATAAGAGCCGTATAAACACAACAACTAACACCAATAATCATTCACAGCATTTAATGTTGCCTTCGAATATAGGGCTATTTTTAGCATAATAAAAAGAGTATAAAACAAGAAAAAATGTTAACTTGGTTGCACCGAAGCTATAATACACTTCACAAATACATAGATTCCTTACAAGAACATGATTCCGATCGGTCAATTTGTATGGCAGCTATATGATATAGTGATTTTATCTATACAATTTCTGCTGAGAATATATTGTTGCCTTAAAAAATAACTCGTGTCTAATTTCGTGAATATACCTCGTCAAATAAAAAAGTTTTACATGCAAACATTTTATTTAGATCATTTAGTTAACCTGTTCAGGGTATAAAAAGGTGGCTTAGTTGTTGACAAAAAAATATACGAGTATGTATATGCTCCTATGCTTATTATATAATATTTGTTTGTAGGTATAAGTAATTTCGGTGTTGATTTCTAAAGTTTTGGGTATTAAATGCTCAGCGAGTTATTAGTCAAAATATGTCAGGCATGACTTTCATTTTAATATTGAACTTTCTAATTAGCACTACCGAACGGTATTCATTAAGCTGGTTCATGCCAATAACTTGAACACTGTTTACATAATTATTAGAGGTTACGAGGACTTTTTGATAAGTGGTTGACTTTTTGAATGCTCTGCGCAGTGATTTTAAACAGTAGCTCGTGGATTAAAATTTTATATATGCAGATGCAATATATTTAATTATCGGAAAATACTGCTTAAAGCTTGAAATCGAAAATTTTAGATAATTGAAAACTAAAAGATGAATTAGTAAATTATAAAAATTAAGTTATTTCGATAGGTGGAGTCGTTGCTCACACTTGAATCATACACTTTACACTTTATCTCTAATCTGTAAAAATGTATCTATAATACTTTCTGTAATCTTTTATTGTATGTTAGTGCATAACCAGACGCTAAGTTAGACTCCTCAGCTTCCCATGTGTAAGATTTTCGGACCGCCAGTTTTACTAGCACTGGTACACAGTGAATTTGTGCTCGATTTTTGAATCTCGAATATGTCTAACAAGTCAAGTAATTTTTGTCAACTCCTCATTTGAGTGTTGACAATATTACTATGTGAGTAAAAAGCAATATTTTCGATGTAGAAAATGATTAGGAGGGAAATACTCGACCAAGTATTTTTATAGCCATAAAATAAATGCTTAACAGGATCTTATTTATGCCAATTCAGAAGTTATTCAGATTTTCATAATGACTACCATGTCCGCTTATTTGATTTGCTCTGTAGTAGATTTAAATTCTTAATTTCAAATTAGAAACTTCAACCGCTTTTGGCTAAGGGGTAATCTCTCGACAAGTTGGGGTTTTTTTATCGAGTGGTTTTCAATTAGGCAATAATTTTTTCGGAATTGGTCTATTTGACAGCTGCTACTTTATTTATATTTACTTTGGTTTGCCATTTCATAATGAACAGACTTCTCCTGAAGCAACGTTTGCAAATGGTGCAAGAAATTTTTTTTCTGCATTGAAGCTCACTTTGAACTATGATTAATAACATTTTCGTGCTTGAATTGGATGATGTTGATGTGGACGACCTTTGGTACCAACAAGACGGCGCTATATGCCATACAGCGAACGAAACAATTAATTTATTGAAGGAAACTTTTGGTCAGCGCATTATATCGCGTCGTGGGCCTGTCGTGTGGCTTTTAAGCTCAAGATGATTGACGCCTCGGAAGCTTGAGCCGGTCGGGTAGAATTTATTCGAACCAGCCGTGGCGGTCACTTGCCCGAAATCATTTCTAAAACGTAATAGCAAACCCTATCTTTATAACAAAGCTAAGTTCTTAGTATTAGCATAAAATTATATGCGTTTTATATCTTCTTTTAAACCACATGCAAAAAAAAACATCCTTTATTACTTCGCATATTTTCTCTGGAACTTTATTAAGTACTTGGTTCACACTATTAGGTCAACAACGTTCCAAGAGCTCAAATTCATTTATGTTACAATTCTACACTATAAATAAAAACGGCTTATAGTAGACAGAGTCGTTCAAATTCTGAACCGAACGCACGAAGAAATGGAAGCGATGCTCTGGATTGTATACAATTTTCTATTCAATGACGGAAGTATGGTTCAAAAATAGACTGAACATAAGGGTTCCATCAGCCGAGTATTCAAAATCATAATAAAATAACCGGACGTATTAAGCGTCACTCGTATATTTAGCGTGTAAACGTGAAGTAGTAATGTAAAGCTAAAAACGCGGTAAGAGGCATATTGAAATTAAGCACATCTTGCACAGGCATACATATGCACATGTATGTTGCAATGCATGCAACAACACGCTACGAACAAATTGTGCACAATGTTTTTGTTCTTGTTTACACAGTGGAAAGCTAAACAAATAAATAGATACAGCTGTAATAACACTAAGCCACAAACAGGACGACAAACATACAGCGGCAGCATTTAAAAAATTAATAAAACAACAACAAAAAAACACGGCAGACATGGTAATCGCGGTGGATATAGTAAATGCGACACTCCTCGGAAGAGACGCCAGAAAAAAGACTTAACTTCTTGTATCGTATGTGTGTATGTGCACTCGTCGGTTTGTTGACGTTGTCATCACAAGTCATTCGCGAGCAAAAGTAGTGCAATCGCGGATATAGTGCAATTTATACCCACACACATGCATATACATATATATGTAGCACTATCTTTTTCATCTGCGTATTGCAATTCCACTTAAGGGCAAATATGTTGCCGCAGTTGCACATTTTTCCACTGTTGCACCTTGCCAAATATATAACCGTTATGGTATAAGCGAGTGACTAACTGGCGCTGCGAAAAGCCCTCGAGTCTTAAGTTGTCATTTTAATACATTCCGTTATGTGTGTGTTTTCGTATGGATGTGTTGCAACGGAAGGCATGCACCAACACGCTTGAGAGGTTTAACTCTCTGTTAACGGTAAAAAAGGAATTTACTGACGAAATTTGCCTTAAAAAGCGGAGCATGTTGAACGATATCCAGACTGCTTTACATGGCCTGGAGACCCACATTGTAATAACTAGTTCTGCAAATAACATAATGTGTATGACTTGATGTCAACTATATCACTAGGTTGAACTGTTAAGTGAACAGAACCAGCGTTGCGTACAAGTTTTGTCCAACATATCCATTACAGTTCAATACAAAGGAGATATTTGGACATATTTCCAGTAAATAATGGAATTATCATTAAGTCTTCCCTACCCAAAAGGTCGCAACAAACATATTATTAATGTGAATTTGTTTTATTGGTAACAAACATTTATTCTTACTTAGACTTAAATCACTAATAGCTCAAGGTGTTAGAAGAAGAATATTTTTCAAATTTTTTAGGAACTCAACCACAATAACCTTTCAGATGTCGGTACTAACTGAGCTTTGAGAATCAGAAGATTCAATTATTCTCTGAAATATCGTCGAAGAAACAACTTTAATGATTTTGGTCAACTTCTACGACAATCGTATCTTGGTAACCATAGTGGACCCACTTATGCTATAGCAGTTTAGGAATATCGCCACATCTGCACTCCCAAAAATCATTAAGGGTTTTATGTTACTACTAGAACAACACAAATTAAGGAATTTTATCCTAAATGAAGAAAAATGCCTAAATTACATGACTGGAATGGAATTGTGATTCAGTGTACCTTTAGCTATTAATAATATTGATAGATTCGGGTGGAGAAAGTATGTGAATAGTAAGCAGTATTTAGAAAATTACCTAAATTACGAGTTTATTTATTTTTTTATTTGTTTATTCTCTCCTTT